TCAACTTACAGCCATGATTTCTATGAAGGAAAATATTCCATTGTGTATAAGTACCACGTCATTGTTTTTTTGTTTTTGTTTTTTAGGTACCAGGGATCGAACTCAGGACCTTGCACTTGCAAGCCAGGCGGCGGCACCACTGAGCTAAATCCCAGGCCCTTAGATTTTGAGTTTTATGCAAGTTTACCAGTTCCCAGTATGTTAGGTCAAATTAATTATCTGCCAGTCCACTAAAGGCCTGAGACAATTACAGGTAAGGTTTCCCAGGACTCCATTAGTTTTGATATACAGGCTTTTTTTGGGTTTATTTGGTACCGGGGATCAAACTCGGGCAGGCGACATAACCACTGAGCTAAATCCCCAGCCCTATATACAGGTTTTTTAAGGAACACAAATACTACCCACAGAGAGCAAATTAATGTACCATAGTGGGTATATTAAACAATGAATTGTGCAACTTTTTTTGTTTGTTTGTTTTTGAGACAGGGTTTCACTATGTAGTTCAGGCTGGCCTTGAACTGTGTAGCCCAGGCTGGCCTCGAACTCATGGTGATCCTTGTGTCGAAGCCTCCTGAGTGCTAAGATTACAGGTGTGCACCACCATGCCTAGAAAGCAACTCTTGAAGTCTGAAAGTTATCTGAGAAGTTATATAGCAATACAGCATTAATTTTGGTCCACAGAAATTCAATACTTACCCCTCTACCTACCAACATATTAATGTCTTCCTCACTTCTTCCTTTGAAAATACTCTTGGTGAGGGGCCAGTACTAGGGATTGAACCCAAGGCACTGAGCTACATTCAGCCTTTAAAAAAAACACTTTTGATTCTGCTGCCTGCCTCGAAAGCGCAAGGACTGGAGTTCAATCCCCGGTACCAAAACAAAACAAAAAACTTTTAATTAAGTCAGTAAACTGCCCAAGCTGGGCTTGAACTTGCAATCTTCCTGCCTCAGACACCCAGAGTGATGATATCACAGGTGTCCACCACTATTCGTGGCTTAAGTCTTTATTATTGGGAAGAAAAATCCCAAGGAAATCTTAACAGGAGCAGTGCACTTACCTCTCGAGTTTTCTCTCGACTATGGGCACATCCAGACCTACAGCTTGCTTGGTGATCTGCAACATCTCTGCAATGCACTGAAGGGTGTCTGAAACCCAAATGTACCTGCTTGTTAGTGTCTCCAAAAACACACAAAATACAGCTGTACTAATTTACACATTCTTGTTTTTTTGTTTGTTTTTTGGTTTTTTGGTACTGGGATCGAACTCGGGTCCTTGCGAGGCAGGCGGCAGAACCACTGAGCTAAATCGCCAGCCCCTAATTTACACTTTCTTGGGCCAGAGACTTAGCTCAGTGGTTCTGCCGCCTGCTTCCCAAGTGCAAGGTCCCGAGTTCGATCCCCAGTAGCAAAAAAACCCCAACTAATTTATACATTCTTGACTAGTATCTGTGGTCTTGTACTTAAATACAAGTTTATTTGCTGCAACTTACAGAAAACTGCTACCCCCCCACCACTGAATCAAAATATTCTACAGCAAATCTTTCACAGGAGAGTAAAGCACAAGAACAAAAGAACAAACAACTGGAGTTAAAAGTTTGTTGTGATTCATGTTTGTCCAAGCACTGCGCCAGATGCTGAGGCAACAGCTGTGGATGAGATTAGTGGGTGGCAGCTCCTAAGAGAGGGATAAGTGGGAAAGCCTTAGCATCCACAGGCTTTGTACAGAGGCACACACATTGAGAATTGCCGCTAGAGTCCCTTGCCCCAATCTCTCTAGTATATCCAAATTAGCTCCCTGTGATCCTGGGAATAGAACTGCTCAGATCACAGAGCTGTTCCCACATCAGTTCTCATGCCACTCACTATAGTGTGTAATGTCCCAATTCTATTTGAACTTACAAGAGCAGACATAAAGTTATCAGGTACTTTCCTTTTCTTTACCTTTTCCATCTTCTTCTGGATTACGTGGTACAGCTCTCAGTGTGTGGAAATAACCACTTGCTTCTTTATATCTGTAGTACAGTCGCATGCAGGAAAACTTCGGCTTACCAAAAAGAGTGGGTTCAGGACCTCGAAGGCCAAACAAATACAAGTAAAGTTTACATAATGTCCATTTTCTTCTATAACCTCAAAAGACCAACATTCATCAATTAAGCATATAGCACATTTTTCTTCATAATCTAAATGACAACATACAATACAAAACACAATCTTATCACATCTATCTGATCTGTTTGTTTTTTGAGACAGGGTCTTGCTATATAGTCCAGGGTAGCCTTGAGCTCACTATGTAGCTCAGGCTGGCCTTGAACTCTTGGTGATTCTCCTGCCTCAGCCTCCTGAGTACTGGGATTATGGGTGTGGACCACCAGTCTGGCTATATCTATCTGATCTGATGAAGCTATAAAAACTCTTCCGTAGGGCCGGGGATTTAGCTCAGTGATTCCACCGCTTGCCTTGCAAGCTCAAGGACCCAAGTTCCATCCCCGGTACCAAAAAAAAAAACTCTTCTTCAGTTTCATTTTAAATTTTGATTGCTGGGGCTATCTTAACATGGCAAAAAATGAAAAGAACACAGTATTATTAGACCATCCACTAATCTCTAAAAAATAGAAAGGAAGTCTGAAGACACAGACTACTCAGAATATCCCTTTCTAGTTTCTAACAGATGGTATACCAGTTGCTTAAATAATTTGACCTATACTTGGCACGCAAGAATTCTACCACTGACCCACCAATGCAAGCAACTTGACCTATTCTAGGAAGCAACAGCATTTGATTTCTTTGAGTTGGTTAGTATGTTAAATTTACCTATTTCTATTTTTTCCAGGTTTTCTAGACTTAGTCGTTGATACTGGTTTACTTTATCCACTTCATCATCATAACTAGACAAAGAGTAAAAAGAGAATTAAAATAAAAAACATATTTGGCTTGTCAGCTGAGGTATAACAAAAGTAAAGAAGTACATGCAGTTAAAATAAAATCTTTCCCAGCTCAATACATTTGGAGTAAAGATTTAAACAAAAATATTCTCAAAACTACATTAAATAAAAATAATATAGTTTCACAGCTAAAAGAAAACTGGTTTATAGATCTTACACTAGAAAACAATTACAACACAAAAATAATGTTTTATAAATACTTTCATAAAAAAAATCTAAAATGAAGGCAAAACACACACACATATTGAAACTATCTAGAAATAATATAGCAGATAAAGTTGATATCCAAAATCAAGAATGGAAACTCCATATGATCTATGCCAACAGGTATCTGGATTGATGTCTAAAAAATGACACTTTCAGGGGTCCAGGGATTCCTGAGTTCAATCCTTGGTACCAAAAATAAACATGACAGTTCAGGGCTGGGGTGTATCTTAGTGGTGCCGTGTCTGCCTGGCAAGCGCAAGGTCCTGAGTTTTGTCCCAGGCAAAAAAAAAAAAAAGAAAAAAGAAAAAAAAAATGACAGTTCAAACAAAGCCAAAAATAAGGTGAATGCTTACTTAGAATAAATTAAAATTCAATTTTGGTGAAGTATGTGGAAACAAGTATTCTGCTAGTGACACTGTTAATTGGTAATCTTTCTGGAGACAGATCTGAAAACAAACCATAAAAGTCACATAATTCCATATCCTTGCAACCAAAGAGAAGCTGGTGTGTGTGTGTATGTGTGTGTACAGATAGCTGTGGCATTCATAAAAGCAAAAAACTGCAGGTAATTTTATGCCTAACCATGGGCAAACATTTAAATATGGTATGAGTAAAATAAAAAATGGCATATGGCCATTCATGTTAAAAATATACAGAGTACATCAAAACCAGGCAGATACATAGGTAATTATGCTAAGCTAAAAGAACACACAATATTATATAAACATACTGTTAATAACTCACCAATAAAAATTTCAAACTGATAAAGATTAGTAGCCCATATCAGGTTAAAGGGTTCAATTCATGAATATATAATAAAACCAGATTCTTAAATTTTAAAAATGTAAAATTAAAAGCTTTAAATCAATAAGCAACTTACTAGGCCACGTAGTAGGCAGAGTTAGAAAGCAATAACAGCACATCCACATCTCTATGAGTAGCATCAATGAGGCTAAACAAACATGACACAGGGAATTAGGTATTTTCATTTTCATCTGTATTCTCTACCAAACACATTCACACAGCATAGCCACTTATGAAAAAAGATTGACCAGTGGAAAAAGAAGAAAATAAAATAACCAATGAATTATACATACTTCTGTAGTTAATATAATCTATCTTTTTAAAATTTTAAAAATAATAAGAATCAGATTTGGGAAATGGGGGAGGTGGATGGAAGAACTGGAGCTGAGGGGGGGTCCCTTTGCAGAGAGGTAGCCAGGAATGGGGAGTCTTCAGGGAAATGGGTTAACTAGAGAGTGGGGATTGGAGGATGGTAGAGAAGTGGTTCCTGAGAAGAAAAAAAGGAAAACCTGAGACTGAGAAGGGAGAAATGGTAGATTATCTCACATTATCTAACCTCCAAATAACACACTGCACATTTAGGGTATGTTTACATTCATGTATAAGAAATCTTTTTAAAAGAATTTTACATAAATATAACATTTATGTGCAAAAATGAAACATTTATGTGCACATAAATATGACATTTATGTGCAAAAGTTCAAGCTATATTCCATTATTCTCACTATATATTTATTTACAGCTTTCAAGTAAATTACACTGAAGACCTGGAATGGGAAACTGACTGGGCTTGGAAGCTGGGGTAAGGGGAGCCAAAAAAGGGTGGGTCACTATTACCTTGGAAACAAAAAAAAAGGTAAACATTTCCTTAAGGCTGTCATATTTATACCCACTCTAAAATCAAATCTATCAAAATAAAGGTTAGAAACCAGATTTGATAATCATTAAACCAAACCTTCAGTAAAATATACATCCCTGTAATATTACTTGTAGGTAGTCAACAAATAACAGGCAGAATCTGAACTCAAATGAAACTTTTAATCTAATATTAATCTAACATTAATAACTTTTCCACCAAAAGGTGATTTTTTTTAAAAGGTGGAGATTAATCTGCATACTTAAAACTGGTCTCAAAATTTCACTGTAAGAAAATTTCACCTTAGGATTTCACTAGACCTTATCAAAATGCTATTGTAAAACAAATAGTAAAAAATATCACTTGTAGATGGAACACTTCTTACTCCGCAAAAGAATGAGGTCATTGTTTAATAGATACTGCAGGGAAGGACAGATTTACTAAAATCTTAAACTGCAGGTTTTTACATCAGCAGCACTTTGTTGCAGTGTAACTCTAACAGTCTTATCTAAAATTAACAAATTCACTTCAATTTTCCCCTAATATACTGAAAAACAAATGAACAAGGTAAAATGCTACAATCCAATAAAGTATTGATTCTAAGAGGAAAACCTGAGCATTAAGCAAGTAATTGATGGTGAAAAAAAATCAATGATCCTGGCAGCTTCTCTGAGAATACTGAACGAGGTAAAACGTAGTTTAGTTTTGTGCATTGATAGTTACCTGCATTCTGAAAATTGTTGCTTGAGCCAAGTCATAAAAATGAAAACACGACACATATTGATATGAAGTAAATTCTACTAATTACAGTGTTACTTTCATCCTAGCATCCTATTTCGGCATAAATATTTACATCAGTCAAACACTATCCTGTCAAAAACATTATGTTCTTAAGAAAAAGCACTTGGCACGTAACAGGCGGTCAAAAATGTCAGCCCTCCCCCCCACCCCATTTTTACTGGTCTTAGCTGCCGTAAATAATTGAATTCCCTACCCCTCTAAAGAAAAAGAAAAGCACGTTTAAAACGAACAAGAAAGAAAGAAAACAAACCCTGTAGGTACTTCCCTACCCCCCAGCGTTTGCAGCTCTTGAAGCTGCTCTATTCGTTTTTGTTTTCCCGCCACTGAGGCAAACCCTCTTTCCACACTATGAGGACAAAAATTGCCACCACCACATGAAGCCCGACCACTGCGACAATGGTAGCGTAAAAGGCGCTGTCTTCAGGGGACATTAACAACAGACTTTGGAAAAGAAGTAATTTACAAGAAAAATATAGCCCGACAGGTACTTTAACCATGAGTCCTGCAAAAAGGAGAAAAATCTTGAAAGTCATAGCCACAACACCATCAGACTTGGGCTCAACGGCATTGGCGGCGGGAGCCCGCTGAGCAGGTGGTGGAGGCCTGTGGGAGCGCGGCATGGTCGGTCTGTGCGTCCGTCCGTCCGTGGATCCCTCGCAGCTCAGTCAAGACCACCCTGTACCGATATTGAGCCTGCAGCAAATGTGACGAACGCTGCAAACGCTCTGCGGCCGCGCCAAGTACCGCCCACTACAAAGGTCTAGCTTCCACCCGCCCACTTCCGGTCCAGGCTGGCAGCCAGTGCGCAGGCGCGCTCCGTCCGGCGCCTCTCGAGCCCTCCCTGTTGGGCTCCGACCCAGGCCAGCAAAGGAGAGGTTCTGGGCGTCTGGCTCCCGCAAGGGCTGTCTTGCGCCTTTCTCATGGTCTGTGCCCACGGTCACCAGAGGGATGCAATGGGCAGGGTACCACCGTCGCCTCTGTCCGGGGCACGGTCATGTGCCTGACAATCAGTGGCTACCACCCCCTAAGCACTCTAGAAACCAGGCATAAGGGCTGTTGAGTTCGGGGTATGGAGAGCGAGCTGGGCCGAGATGGCACAGAGAGTTGGTTTTGTCAAGATGCTAAAGGGCAGATCTGCACCACTCCTGTTTGTTTTCTATTTTAGACACCTCTTTCCCACTGTCGCCCAAGTCAGATTGTTTTGGGACAAGAGGAGGGCTCGGGGTTATTAGGGGAGAGGTTGGAGAGGACACAGAAGGCCAAAGAGGACACAGGACGCCCGAGAGGCCTGGCCCACATCTCTGCCGGGGCTGTGCGAAGAGAAACACTCGCAGAGCACGGCGCCACGCTGGACAGCTCCCACCACAGTCGTGCTGAGGATCCGGTTTGCGTACCGCTGGCGGGAGCTTTCAACACCGCCAGGCCTACAGTGAGGGGCAGTGAGACACTGTCTCTGGCACAGAATTTAAGAGGGTGCCGAGGCAGTCATCAGGACAACTTAGAGCATTATTCTGGGTTTTGTGGTTTTGTTTTGGAGACAGGATCTCACTATATAGTTCAGGCTAGCCTTGAACTCACTATAGAGCCCAGGATGGCCTGGAACTCGTGGTGATCCTCCTATCTCAGCCTCCCGAGCACTGGGATTACAGGCATGTGCCACCACGCCTGGCTGGAGCAAGATAGATAGATAGATAGATAGATAGATAGATAGATAAAAATATTTCTTTTGTACCAGGGATCGAACTCGGGACCTTGCCCTTGGCAAGGCAGGCGGCAGAACCACTGAGCTAAATCCCCAGCCTTGGAGCGATATTTTTTTAAAAAATCAAAGTAGACTCAAAAGTATGATGAAGAAAATGTCAAAAAAGTAAGTAAACATAGGATCTGCTCTTAAATTTGTACAATCCTGCCTTGTGTGACTGACCCCAATCCTAGCCCTGATCTTGGAAAAACTTTATTTACAACTCAACAACAAAAATAAATCCAATTTAAAACAGGAAAAATATTTGAGTAGACTTTTTTCCAAATGAAGTTACAAAAAGGGCCAACAAGAAAAGAATCCTCAACATCATTTGTGATTAAATGCAAATAAGAACCACAATAAGATATCACTCCACACCCACTAGGATTATAATAATTTATCCCCTGTAGCGGGGACTGAACCAAGCCTTCCCACTCAGCTAGATCCCTAGCCCTCTTAAATTTTGAGACAAGGACCCACTAAGTCATTTTCCCAGGATGGGCTTGAACTTCTGATCCTACCTCAGTCTCCTAGAATGCTGGGATTACAGGCATGCACCACCATGCCTCAATGGCAACTTTTTTTTAAGAGGAAAATAAGTGTTGGAGAATCAGAACCTTCATATTTTGCTGGTGCACATTTAAAATGGTATGGCTATGGTGGGACACAGTTTGGCAGTTTCCCAAAAAAGAGTATTACCAAGTCATCTGGCAATGTCTAATCCTAAGTATATACTGGAAAGAATTGAAAATAGGCATTCAACAAAACTTGTACACAAATGTTCTTAACATCACTATTTATAATGGACAAAATGTGAAAATAACTCAAAACTCTGTCCACAAATGAATAAACAAAATGTGGTATATCCACACAACAGAATACTACTGGAATGAGATTCTGGTTCATGCCACAATGTGGAAGATCATGAAAAATATTCGAAGTGAAGTCACCCAGTCACATAAACCCATATATTGTATTCTCCACTTATACAAAGTGTGCAGAATAGGCAGACAAACCCCATAAGATAGAAGTAAATTAGTGGTTGCTTAGGGCTGGGAGTATATGTGGCACAGGGTGTGATAACTACAGTGTACAGGGCCTTCATGAGATGATGAAAATTAAATGTGTGTGTTCAGCTTAACTTGCAATGGAGGAAAAGCGGGCTCTACTTTTTTCAGGAAGTACTCCAGATCAGTACATCCCAAATACAGTCAGCAAAGGGAAGGATGTTCTGACCTTTGCTTTCTAACACATGTTATTAATGCTGTTATTCTTCATCAGGAGTTTTAACCAAAGATGATGGTTAAAAGACAATCACTGGCTCTCTGTTATCAGAAAACCAAGTTTTATTGCAAGATTAAAGGGAAATAGGAAATGCAATTGCCAGACATTGGAGAGGGGTGGAAATCAAAAATCAAGGGAAAAGAACTGTTTCATCATGTTAATGAAGAAAAGAGAAAAACAAAATAATTACATTTCTGAGGTAAGCATTTAGTAGCTGAGAATTTGAGATTTAAGACTACTCAACAGTAATTTCTTTTTTTTTTTTTCCCTTTTTTTTTTTTTGGTACCAGGGATTGAACTTGGGTCCTTGCACTTGCGTAGCAGGCGGCGAAACCACTGAGCTAAATCCCCGGCCCACAACAGTAATTTCTTAAAGACCTGATCCTAGAAGACTATTCTTGTTTCATCATTATTTTCGTGAATCCAGTTGCCAGAAATAAGTATGACTTTTCATGAATCTTTGTAAGAGGTTTCTAATGATACTTACCAAAGCATCCTTACCCAAACTTTGTTGCAAGCTTTAATAGCAATAACACACACTTTATATATCTTTTTATACCTCTCACTCAGGGTATTAATTTCTATTAATAATTACAGGATTTGAGTGGGAGAATGTAGTTCAGTGGTACAGTGTTTAGTATGTGCAAGGCCCTGAGTTCAACCCTAGTACCACCTACATGAACGAATGAATCACAGGCTTGTAAATCAAATCAGGAGCAGTGTGATCCTACCAAATGGTAGCCAGCATTAGAAATAAACCTTTTGAGCTGGGGATGTAGCTCTGTGGTAGAGTGCTAGCCTCCATGCATGATTGGTGTGGGGGACACAAAGAAGAAATAAACCTTTTGGTTTTCCCACTTTCATTTACTCCAAAGTAGAAACAAAAAAACTTGGTTTAAATAAGATTTTTAAAAATTGAGATACAGGGCTGGGGATGTAGCTCAGTGATATAGTGCTTGCCTAGCATGTTGTAAGGCCCTAGGTTCAATCCCCAGTACCAAAATAAATAAAAATTGAGGTGAGGCCAAGGATTTAGTTCAGTGGTGCCATGCCTGCCTCAAAAGTGCAAGGTCCTGAGTTTGATCCCCGGTACAGAAAAAAAAAAAAAAAAAAAAAATTTTGAAGTCCAAAATTAACACTCAAGCAAAATGTAGGTTTTACTTGCAATTATTTCTGAAGAGTAATTTAAAAATACTACTTCTGTTTTTTTTTTTTTT